TACTAGGCCTCTATTGGCCCTTCACTTTGACGTCAATTAGGTCGAACGATGTATAAAAGTTCACGTACAATTGAGTTTGTTCACATTTAATTTGATTAAGACCATTTTTAACCTATTTAACGAACAGAGTAATCAGTACAATAACAACTTCTTAATACCATTGTATCTTTATTATTATTACGCTTGTATGAATATGTATGCTTGGGCATTGTTTACTGCCTACGCATATATTCCTTCTGTTAGCTTTACTACTAGTTGTTTAATTGATCCGATGATTCATTTATTTCACTGTGTATATATATGTACATTTTAATAATGTTCACTGAATCGCGGAATCGCTTGCCAACTCGCTCATTTGACTTGAACGCTGACTCTCTTGCCTGTTAGCTTCTCGGCACTACTCCTTCATACTTGCTTCACGTACCTGTAAATTTAGATGTTTGTTTGTGGTCCAATAATAAACGTAATCAACACATTGTATTCGCATTTCCATTAATACACCGATATGGCGTTATCTAGTGACGGTTATAAAGACGAACTGTATACTAAGTTCAGGGATTGTATTGAATACTGACCACAATAGATATCGACCGACCCATTACTTTAGTGACCTGATGACTGACTCCAGTGGGATCGCGTGAGTGATTTCTGTCCAAATATATATATCGTCAACCGTCGTATATAATTATCGACCTAACTGGCGTTGGTGAATAACAAAATTAAAATAAGACAAATACGAGAAAGGATTTTGAATACGTTAATTTTATACGGTCATTTATCCAGGCAGACGATCGAAGGAACGAAGCGAAACGAAGTGATGCGCAATAGACAAGGCATGTTAGCCAACTTCATTTAGTCCATCGTTAATCAACATTTGTAGTCACACAAAAATAAGCCACAGATATGTAATGAGATAAGATGTACACACATATACGCCCATCCAGAAACAGTCAGGGCTGATAAGCGAATAGTTAACAAGGCCAAAACGTAACTCAAGTAGAATAGAAAATTTGCCTCTTCAGAAGCTAGAATAAGTTGTATGGGCTTAACATAGCAACTGACACTACAACGCCACTTGTTTTTCGAGTCTATTTTATGAATGTGGTCTGACGTACACCTGAAATTAATATTCAGAAATTCTCTATTTCAAGTACAATGTGATTACCGAATTCGCAGGCATTTAAAATCATTTGGCTCAAGATCAGATGTTTGAGCCATAAACTACAAATCCTCATATCGGGTAACGCTGAGTGAGACACTCTAATCCGTCACATAGCGATGATGATGTTTTATTCCAATAATTGTTGAATATTCATATTTATTTACGAGTCGGAGTTTATCTGTATGTCTATCTGAGAAATCACAACGCACAAGACTATTTCCCAACTATGACGAATCGATGACTGAAATGAGTGTCGATGACACATAAAGTCGAATTGATGGCAAACGCTTATTTCTCCTCAAAATTCTTCGTCAACTGACAGTGAGTCACGAAGCGATGACACTAAGAACGATGAAAGACGACATAAAGTGTGATGAGAGACTTTGGTTCAGAATTGAATACTAATATTGGTGACATGTGTGGTGCGGTTATTGTAGATAAACTCGATGAAAGAGCTAAAGCTATGAAGTTTTGACAGTCGACCATATTATTTAATCATCTTTACAGAGGATACTTTATCATAATATGAAAATGATAAACACGGGACAAACGGCCATAACACGAGCTGTGAGTTCGCGATCATTACCAGGAGAACTTTATTTCGTAATAATGTTCAATAACACACAACACCGTTGAAAAGATTTATCATAACTACATTTTAAGGCACTTCGAACTAAACTTAAGCAATAGTGAAATGTATCACCGAAAATCATTGAAGTTTTCTAAACCACATGATGCTACTGAGTCCACTATGAAACGGTTCGTACCAGTATATCTTAAGAGTTCATTAATTCGCAAGTAACTTCAAAGAAACATGAACTTCAACCTAGGATCAATTCAATACGTGATATGTATATTCGTTTAAAGCTCAAAATCCTTGTTTAGTTTTATGCATTGTTGTACGGTTAACATGGTTAATTACATTGAAATATCACAGCGTTCGGAACTTTTCTGACAATTACTAATTACCACTAACTTTAACATATTTTTTTCCATTTTTTTAATTGATCCTCTCCACGTCTATACTGAAGTGGCCTTTGTTCCATCATTATACGTGTCACATATCTGACCATTTGTCTATTTAACTTCACTAAATTTATTCATCGTCTTCTTTCTTTATTTTTCACTAACCTTAGTCTTTATTATACGTGCGAGAAAATCGGTTTTAATTAATTTCTATCAAGCCGATTAACAGTAAAATATGTTCGTAATATCTTGACTAGTGAAAATTTGAATTTCTGATATTTTGTGTCTTGATGTAAGTCACTTCTTTTCAGTAAATAAATAATGATGCGAATGGAATTACTTCAAACAAATCTAATTGATAGGGGTGAACAAGGCGAAATATTTGAATTGACCGCGTTTTGGTGAGTGGAGATTATTAGTAGCGTTTGATTCTTGTGCTTTGCCTTCATCATTAATACTTTTATGAAGAGCAAACACTCCCAAATACCAAAACAAAGACAAAAGAAACAGAAATGCATAAAAGAAATATTAGAGACAAACAAGTTCAGAAGTTGAGTAAAACAAATGCATTCAGAAAACAGTAAAATTAATAATATAAAATATAAAGGTTTTAACCAGTCAAATGTTTTCTTCCGTAACACGCTTCACGATCAGCACCCAAAGTGAACTGCCCCTTCACTGTATCAAAGTACTGTGGCTGCTTTGAAGACCATATAGCCCGAAGGACGTTATTACGGAAATAGCGAGCAACCATTAATTACTAGAACGTTGGTTGAATATGAGGCGATTAACCATGGAAATAATGGAAAAAGAAACACGACGTTTTAAATTTCTATCAAGTGGCGTTAGAATAGATAGAATAACTGTAAATACAGAAGTATAACCGTGTAACGAAGTCGTGGTTCCGTTGTGCAAAGCTATTGATCAATTTGTAGTCACAGTTTGGAAAGCCGATGATTGCCGTTACAATCAGTAAGGGTCATAGACTACAGATCGAGAGTGATAGGGACACAATAAAGTTGTCTCTGCAGGATAATAAACGGTGAGTGCTGTATATCAGTTTAATAACTGAACCGAAAAATATCAAAGAGAACATGGGAAACCAAGAATGCCACTCTGGACTCATGTCAATAATACCAGTGAAAAACAGTCAGTACTGGTTATGGACGACAATGTCGTTTTCAGTTTGAGGGAGATTAGCTTGACTGCGTAAACTTATGATTCGCGCTAATGATAGTGTCGTGAGACCATAAGTTGGACCGGACAAGTTTTATATCGTCGAGCATTCGAACAGCCGATTATTGTACCGAAACCGTCTGTTAGATGACAGCCACGGGGAAACAATAGTTCATAAAATAAAGTACGACGTCAAAATTGAGTAGTCACAGTGGTTTAGATGTGTCATAATATCACAGAAGAATAACATCGCTCTTTTATATACTAGAGGCGGCACTGAAAGTTCGTTTGGGTATTGCTAGTCTTCCAGGGGTACAATCAGTAACGAGAGTAAAGCTACTGTCTGGTCAACACATTTCTCGACAAGGAAACTGACGTAACTAGATTGGGACCCTCGAGGTGTGAGATTGAAAACGAATAATTGTAATGCATTTAGCTTGTCCACAAGACTAGCAATCTTGCGTGCATGATGTGCACGTAGGTCGTTTAATTTAGCTATTAACGACTCTATGGTGAGGATTTACATGCTATTCGGAGTATGTGAAATAATCTGTACGTAAGGTACCGTAACACGTATCAGCCATACTGGCTGAACTCTCCAAATCTAAAGGTTGGCTGGAAGCACAGAGAATTTACCTTACTACCGTTGGAAAGCGTTGTAGCCAAATTTTCTTCAGTGAAGCATTATCAACTACATAAGGTCCAATCAACCGCTTCATCTAGCTCAATAACTGAGACGGTGACTTGTCCCTTAACTCACATTCATATAGCATAGAGGTTCGTTGAATAACGGCTTGGTTTAACTGATTATAGGCTTCCGAACTGAGACATTATCTGTAGAACCCGGTACCTCAGACAGGATTCCAAGCACGAAAGAGTATTTCGGAGCCTATGGACACACGTTATGATGATGAAACTGGACATCCATCTGTGAAAATCATACACGTGTGTTTAACCCATTGAATGGCAGCACATTTATGTGGTTCAGAGCGTATAACCCCGCTGAATCACTACCTTGGATAATATCGTCCGATTCGAATGAATACGTGGTAAAAATGCAAAAAGCAAACATTAAGAAAAGGAAAAGAAATACCGAGATGTTCGTAAGTAGACTCAAAATTGCACTTTCGAAAGAAACGCAAGTGCTCGCCAGACTAGTGATTGATTCCAGTAAATTAGCTTACTCAAGAAATGAAAATGAACAAAGTTTATAATGGTATAATAAGCAAGATCAATACTTCAAACCGAAGTGTCTGTTTACGAGTAAAGCAGAATTGTAACAGATGACATTTAAAACAAAATGGAATAACAAATATCAAAATGGTGACAATTTTATGAAATAAAGGTTACTCGCAAGCCCCACCAAAGAAAAAAACCACGAATAAGTTCACTTGATTAACGAAGGTTCACCTGCATGTGGCCGTACCAGTTGTGTGATGGGAAAGATTAAGTCCGATAGTATTATTCAGTACCTCAGTGTAGTTTATAGCGCCTAAAACGATGCTATTATACTGTGATAATCTTTGATCACATGCTGTGAGCCAATAAATTAGAAGAACAGACTACAAAGATAGAGTTTATTTTCTTCAGAAACAGTGAAAGTGTATTAGTGTAACCAAGAATTTTTTGATTGATACAGAGAAACAATTGATATTGAATATAAATTTGATTACATATTAAATGTCGAAAACAGATAGAAATATGGCCTTTATTTTATGGTTACACAAATAATTGAATATACACTTAACCATATTTTTAACTAGTTATCCACTACAGTTAGTGCAGTTACGTGTCTAGAATATCTGGAAAACCTGAAAACATATTGTAACATATAAAGCGCGTCTAAAAAATCATTGGGTTTTTATGCTTGTTCGTTAAGAGGATATTGGACACTAGCAAATGGCGGAGTCATTAAGTTTGCAGAGAGGTATATTGTGAATTGATTATATTCACATTTTAGATATTAATAGAGTGTTGGAGTTGTTGGAAATACTTCAGAGATGTCCTGAAATACAACCGTCAAAGTTGGCAGCCCTACAGCGCATACTGCAGTCAGACTTTTGCGACATGATTCGTGAAGTTTATGAGCATATATATACAACTGTTGATATTAATGGGTCGGAAGAAGTTAGTATTGTTTTGTTGTATTATGGGTTTTACACAAACGTAATTTTCTGAGCCTCAATGTTGTCGTTTATGCTACTGAGTAATCCATTCATGTAAACTACTAGCGGAAATTGTTGTCAACGTCTCCACTTGATTTATTCAATAAAGGATAGATGCTTTTAAAAGCCTACTAGAAAAGTGTCGTTGCATGTTCTCAAGGCCCAAGCCTGAAGTTCACGGAGATTATGGAATGAGTTTGAAATCACAAGGTGAAATAGCTCAAAACCCACCACAATGGCTTAGGTATATACACTCACTGTACCCTTAGAACATGAGATTAAAATTACTTTACACTTTTCTACGGACTAGTTCCTTCTCCTTGTATCATACAATTATATGCAGTCTTTTACATATTACTACCATTCAAGTAACTGCTTCTATGAATGTATTCAGTCTTCAGTGATAAGGGTGGGAGGTATACCACCTACGTTAATCCTTGCAGTTTGTAACACTGTAGAGGTCCAATCTCGTTTTGAATACATCAGCAAGAGGTGCTGATATTACGTGTTCCGCTAGAGAATTCCAGTAATTCACTACTCGCTGCGAGAAACGAAACTCCAGACGTAAGACGACGTGATCTCGGTTTTTACACTTTCTTCGAATGTCCTTTCAAATGATCAGTCCTAGACGGGAGGAAAAGATAAGACATTAATGTCGGGGTCATCGTTCATTATGGGATAAGCCAATATTATATTACTCCGTATTCTACAGCAAGATCACGGAAATAAATTTAGTTGTGTTAGTTTGTCTTCATAAGAGAGACCTTTTACATTTTATTCCCTCGTCGTTGGACTCGTTCCGGCATACCCGCCCCATACTGAGAGGGCGAAAAGCGAATGTCCGATGCCTTAACCGGGTTGGTGGATACGGAGGGTCCACTCAGGGATGTTGGAAAACCCTGATTTCAAACCAATGGTGTACATAGACCCTAGAATCCTGAGAAAACAAATGGCGTGTGGACCTATTGTTGGTCACCGGCTACCAGTGGGGCTGAACCTCCCTGCGTTGCTTCACTGCCTTATGGATTAGACCTTTACGTCAAAGGTGGTCTCCTAAGAAGACCACCCGCTCCTGTTTGGTCTGCCAGGTAGCGTCCCAGTCCTCACACCAATCAAGTGATTTGTGGCGCATATATATTTGGTGTCTTCTTGTACCAACGTTTATGTGCTTGAATAAATAGACGTAACTGATTTCTTCCTCCACTGGGATCTGGTTTGTTCTCTCCCACAGTACGTTGTTGCTAATGGTGTCCGGCCAATGGATCTGAAGTATTTTGCGTAGACAACTGTTAATAAACACCTGTATTTTCTGGATGATGGCTTTTGTAGTTCTCCAGGTTTCTGCCCCATACAGTAGAACTGTCTTGACATTTGTATTGAAAATCCTGACCTTGGTGTTGGTTGACAGTTGCTTTGAGTTCCAGATGTTCTTCAGTTGTAAATATGCTGCTCTTGCTTTGCCGATCCGCGCCTTCACATCTGCATCAGATCCACCATGTTCATCAATGGTGCTGCCCAAATATGTAAAGGTTTTCACATCTTCCAAATCTTCTCCGTCAATTGTGATTGGGTTGGCGCATGCTGTGTTGTATCGGAGAATCCTGCTTTTCCCTTTGTGTATGTTGAGACCTACTGCTGCTGAGGCTGCTGCCACACTGTTTGTCTTCTCCTGCATCTGTTGTTGCGTTTGGGATAGAAGGGCCAGATCGTCTGCGAAGTCTAGATCGTCCAACTGCATCTTAGATGTCCATTGTATCCCGCGCTTCCCTTCAGACGTTGACGTCTTCATGATCCAGTCGATCACCAGGAGAAAGAGAAAGGGTGAGAGTAAGCAACCTTGCCTAACACCGGTCTTCACTTCGAACGACTTTGTCAACTGTCCTCCATGCAAAATTTTGCAGTGTAATCCATCATATGAGTTCTGTATGATATTGACTATCTTCTGAGGCACGCCGTAGTGTCGAAGAAGTTTCCATAGTGTTGTTCTGTCCACGCTATCAAATGCCTTTTCGTAGTCAATGAAGTTGATGTAGAGTGATGAATTCCATTCAATTGATTGTTCCACAATGATCCGTAGAGTTGCGATTTGGTCTGTACACGATCTATCCTTACGGAATCCTGCCTGTTGGTCACGAAGTTGGGCGTCTACGCAGTCCTTCATCCTGTTTAACAATACCCTGTTGAAGACTTTTCCCGGTATTGAGAGAAGAGTGATGCCCCTGTAGTTATCACACTTGCTGAGATCGCCTTTCTTCGGTATTTTGATTAGAAGTCCTTCTTTCCAGTCTGTTGGTACTTGTTCCTCATCCCAAATCTTATTGAAGAGAATGTGGAGTATCCTTGCAGTTGCCGCTACGTCTGCGTTTAGTGCCTCTGCTGGGATGTTGTCCGGTCCTGCTGCTTTGCCACTCTTGATTTGTCTGATGGCCATGCTGATTTCTTCAATTGTTGGTGGGCCAACATTGATTGGGAGGTCCGTGGGTGCTGCTTCGATGTTGGGTGGGTTCAGTGGAGCTGGTCGATTCAAGAGTTCTTTGAAGTGTTCTATCCACCTGTTTTGTTGCTCTTCAATGTGGGTGATTACCTTGCCTTCCTTGCTTCTCACTGGTCGTTCTGGTTTGCGGCGATTTCCAGAGAGTTTCTTTGTCGTGTCATACAATTGTCTCATGTTTCCTTCTCTTGCAGCCTTTTCCGCCGTCGTTGCTAAATCTTCCACATATTTACGTTTGTCGGTTCTGATGCTCCTCTTCACTTGTTTGTTTATTTCCGTGTATTCAGCTTGTGCCTTAGCTTTTTCTGCTCTTGTTCGGCTGGTATTGATCGCTGCCTTTTTGTTTCTTCTTTCTTGAATCTTATCCAGTGTATCAACAGTGATCCATTCTTTGTGGTGGTGCTTCTTGTGACCCAGGACCTCATGACATGTTGAAGTGATTGCCTCTTTGATCCCCTTCCAGTTGCTCTCCACAGTAGTTCCTTCTCCATTGAGTAGATCATGAAAGGCCTGGAACTTGTTGCTGAGGACTATCTTGAATTTGTTGAGTTTGTTAGTATCCTGGAGAAAGGCCGTATTGAACTTTTGTGATACTGTCTGCCCCGTTGTCCAGTGCTTCTTGAGTTTCAATTTCATCTTGGCGACCAGTAAGTGATGATCTGATGCTATATCAGCTCCTCTCTTGGTTCTCACGTCCTCTATAGTCCTCCTTAACGTTTTGTTGATGCAAATATGGTCGATTTGGTTTTGTGTAGAGTGGTCAGGTGAAGTCCATGTGATGTTGTGAATGCGCTTATGCGGGAATATAGTTCCGCCTATGACCAGCTTATTGAAGGCACATAGATTTGCAAATCTCTCACCATTTTCGTTCCTTTCTCCCAGTCTGTGTCGTCCCATGATGTCTTCATATCCAGTGTTGTCCGTTCCAACCTTTGCGTTGAAATCTCCCATCAGAATGGTCAGGTCCTTTGTTGGGCACTTCTCGACTATTGACTGCAGCCTATTGTAGAATTGATCTTTAGCGTCTTCATTGTAGTCGTTGGTAGGCGCATAGCATTGGATGATGTTCATTGAAATGCCCTCTTTCTTTGTTTTGAACGAGGCTTTGATGATCCTTGGTCCATGAGATTCCCATCCTATAAGTGCATTTGGGGCCCAGCAAAGACGTGGCATCGTTCCGTAAAGTCATTGGCAACCAGACAGCCGTATTAGTCGGTGTAAACTACCTAGGTGATGTCCGCCTGATTATCGTAATCAGTGGTTCGAGACTTTGGATGACAGGGTTTGTAGTAGCGCAGGCGCATCTATTTTCTATCTGCCCAAGTTATTATCTGAATTCCTCATAGTTCTTTATTACATTAATTTGTATTCTCTTGAATGATATCTTCGATGCCTAATCTTTCGTATTATCGGTGATATTATTACTACATCTACTATTCTGTGATAAGACCTTACAATTTCATCTTGTGTGCTAATGAGATATGACAATGTGGACCGATTTACATACATACTAGGTTCTAAGTAGTAACTGACCGACTTTTATTCTTCATTTTATTTAAACTTATTAGGTGAAAGCAAGTGCAACAGCCAAAGCTACTGTCGCAGCTTTGGCTGCAAGTGAAGGACACGCTCATCCACGTGTCATAGAACTACCAAAAACTAATGAAGGTCTAGGTTTCAATGTTATGGGTGGTAAAGAACAAAATTCACCTATTTACATAAGTCGAATTATTCCTGGTGGTGTTGCAGATCGTCATGGTGGTTTAAAACGTGGTGATCAATTGCTATCAGTAAATGGGATTTCTGTGGAGAGTGAACATCATGAAAGAGCTGTTGAACTTTTGAAATTAGCACAAGGTGATGTACCGTGGATTTTAAGATGTTTTTTCCCTATCAATACTTGTGATATTTCATTATTACAGAGTTTCATGTTAATATCCTTATTATCACGTTCTCACAATGCTAGAATACTCGTCTATATATGCTTGTTCTAATCCACATTATGCGTAGTTTTGGTATATTCATAATTACTTGTTATACATTGTTTTTCCAGTTTAAATCATATCAAACAAATTGCAATAATAATCTTCTTTCCATTATAGGTACTGTGAAACTTGTAGTAAGATATACACCACGTATTCTTGAAGAGATGGAAGCACGTTTTGACAAGCAAAAAGCTCGACGTCGGCAACTTAGTTAATACAAATTTGGAGGTGTGTATGCATAATGCTGTGCTGTATCACTCACTAGATTATTTAGACTAACAGTACAGGTTGAGTTGTCCAATAACTTTCTTCAAATAGTTTGTTTTTTTCAACTCTGTCTTTCTATTCTAACTTGTTACATTCTCATTAGGATTTGTATATAATTTGTTGTTAATATTAGTTTTTGATCATTTTGTTGATTTTCAATTTTTCATTATACTCTGTTTTAACATGCTGTAGTCATTTAGACAAAATATTTAATTCTTACGTAACAATGATTTCGATGACTTTAAAATAGAATATTTGTCAAACTATAATTCAGTCATTAATCATTTATTTATTTATGAAATTACAACTTAAGTTATTGAAGTAGGCTTGTAAGCATGATCACTTGGTTTTTGATAACTTATGTTGACTGGTTATTGCTTCTAAATGTCTCTTATTAAAATGTAATTATGCGAATTTCATGGATTATGCTGAGACATGTACATGTATGATATATGATCACTTCAGCTGTGAGGAAATAACAATGGTAGAAATTCCACTGAATATATGTTTGTAGTCTAACGACTATTGTCTGTGGAAGTAAGTACTAGATTTGAGGCAATGGATGTAATGAGATACGAATGATCCAGTAAACGTTAAAGTGGGAATGTACGTAGTTGAGTATTGTTCTAGGTAAGGACACGTTAGATAAGCGTACAAAGAGAGGAAATTAACAAAATAACACTACATTAGAGGAAGTGAGATCAAATGACACCTAACTCTAAATTTAAATTACAATAGAGAATACATGCAACTATAAATTTATAGCATTTGAGCTCTTGGTGGTCTTGGAAAATGAAAAGGTGCCTTGGAGTCTAGATAGGCATCCGGGAAATCAGAATTGCTTATTATTAGCTATCAAATTGCAAATTAGTTTAATATTTAAGGTTGTATATGATTTCGTCGAATAGGGTTTTCCTTGAGCAGCGAAAGTAATTGGTGAAATGTTAACTAATATTGAGTTTTAAGGCATCAAATTTTTAAATTTACTTATTGTAAATGAAATTTGATTTAGATGTTTACAATACATACGACCGATAAGCCCCTTAAACAAAACTGATTGACGTCACGGCACATCATCTGTGCATTGCAACACCCATTCACAAGTAAAAGTGCTTTTTCCCGATACACACAAACTATTCGGCTTTGACTCTGTTGATTGTAAGGTTCTATGGCACTGTTTGTCACTGAAAGGAGTACCAAAGAAGTACATTAACCTTATAAAGGCTCTCTACTCGAACACAACTGGTAGAGTGAGAGCTTATGGAGAACTGTCATCAGAATTGATTACCTCGAGTGGTGTTCGTCAGGGCTGTCCACTCTCCCCATTCTTGTTCAACTTTGTCGTAGACGTACTTTTAGAGATAACACTCTCCTCATCTAAATTTCCAGGAGTTGAACTTCTACCGGGAGGTTCACTTGTTGACTTAGAATATGCTGATGACATAGTTTTATTTAGTGAAGACGCTGACAAAATGCAGAGTCTTCTGACCACTCTAAGCTACAATGCAAGCATGTTCGGGATGCGATTCTCTCCCTCGAAATGCAAAATGTTGCTTCAGGATTGGGTTACATCGACACCCGAACTAGTGATAGGGAGTGAAGTAGTTGAGTGTGTCGACCGCTTCACTTATCTTGGAAGTCTCATCAGCCCTTGTGGTCTGGTGTGTGACGAAATCTCAGCACGGATACAGAAGGCTCGACTAGCTTTTGCCAACTTGCGTCATTTATGGCGTAGGCGAGATATCCGTCTATCAACCAAAGGACGTGTTTGCTGTGCAGCAGTTCGTCCCGTCCTACTTTACGGCAGTGAAACATGGCCGGTAAGAGTAGAGGATATTCGTAGGTTACTAGTGTATGATCATAGGTGTCTTCGAAACATTGCTCGTATATCATGGAACCATCGAGTAAGTAATGCAGTTGTTAGGAAACGGATGCTAGGTAAAGATGGCAAATCAATTGATGAAGTAGTGAAACTTCATCAGTTGAGATGGCTGGGACACGTGTTACGTATGCCCAACGACCGACTACCTCGACGTGCTATGTTCGGTGGTATAGGAGTAGGTTGGAAGAAAGCTAGAGGCGGCCAAACCAAAACATGTCACAAGTCCAATTATATAAACAAACAATATTCCATGGTGTCATTGAATAAGTAAAAGAGAATTCAACGATGAAATATTTTTCCCGATGAAAAAATGTTATGTAGGCCGTATAAAGCGATCTCTTTCCAAATGCATTTGAGAACACTATCCGGCTTGGCTTTTAAATGGAGAATGTAACACAATTTTTGGTTCTATACAGGAACATTTAATCAACTGTGGATACATCACTCCAAAGGATTCTTCTTTTAAAGTAATCTACAGAGTCAAAGGAATTGGATCAAGGGGATATCGAATCAATAGTTTATGCACTGCTGAAACATTAGCAATCTACGAACTTAACCCCGAACTTTGCGTGTAGAGACGATTCATTCAACCTCTCATCCTTCCTTGCCCCTAATTCCTTTAATGGTTATGTTTCGGGTTTTTTCTCCATCATGTTTTTCCGCCTTTTTATTTGATTATCGTTGAATCATCAGAACGGGTTTTGTAGAGATTTTAGAAATTTTGCTGGTTGAAATCATGAGTCAATCGAAGCTAGACGATCATGGAAAACCTGGAAGCACTGGGCGGCCGTTTCGTTCTAGTATGGGATTCCTCAGCAGTGCACATCCAACATCCCGTTCGCTGGATTCGAACCCAGGGCCTTGATCTACTGGACCACTGAGGAGTCCTACAATAGGAGGAAACAACCGTCCAGTGCTTCCAGGTTTTCATTGGTGATCTGACATCAATCAGTTCATGATCTCAATCAAAAACATAATAATCTCCACAACCCCAATACTGATAATAATTTTCTTCCTTATCCTTTGATTAGTACGTAACCTCATTTGATATTTAGTCTCGAATCCATTTTATGTCACAATATTTTTTATTTTCCTATAGATATATATATATTTTTTCCATATAACTAAATATAAATCTGAATGTATAGTTTAAGTAAGTGATTTCGTCGAAAACAAAACGAAATTACTTCACTGAATTCATTTCTGATTCGAAGAAATATTCATTTCAATAAACTTCTCATCAGGTTCTACAATTATCTCAGATCCAAATTAATAATCTATAAAATTGGTCAGATTTAAGGTAGAATAGATCATCTGAAAATTGTAATATGTGAATCAGGGATTTTTATTTGTTGTATAAAATCAAATCAAATTGTTAATGTTAGGGTTGACTAATATGAAGTTTCAATAGTTGAAATCGTAAGTCATTTGAAGCTAGACCACCTCCACTGCTGAGGAGTCCCACAGTAGGACGGAACGGCTATCCAGTGCTTCCAGGTTTTTCATGATGGTCTAGCTCCAATTGACTCATAATCTTAACTATGGTCAACATGGGGTGAGAGAAAGAATAATGTAATTACCAATGGAAAATTACATAATATGTAGAAAAATATGAATTAGGTAAAGTATAGCAGATAGGGGTGGATGCTGAATAAATATCTCAAAACGGTTATCAAGTGGTATAATAATAACAATGATAATAATACTAATGACAATGGTAAGATGTGTGGATATAACAATGATAACTGATCAAATTACGTCACCATATTGTTAAATTGATAATTGACTATTTGGGCCCGAAATAAGTCAGGGTAAAAGGAGAGGCTGAACATATTTCTTTTGAATACAAAGCTCTGGCTTTTTGATCTGAATAGCAATCGCTCCAGCTGTCTGATGGAATTGGGTAGACTGTTGTTAACACGGTATATTATTGTGAAAGATTTCTCAATGTTAGCTGTATGTCCCGTTTGAATGAAATGAGCTGAAATGGAGCTGTCGACAGTGTTAACTACACCTTTGCTTAACCATACTGGGAGGTGCTCACGAGCCAGCATATACAAATTCCTAAAACATTTACCAATATAACTTGCTCCACAGGAGCAGTTGAATTGATAGATAAAGAAAGAAGTGGCTAGTCTAGGCAATGTATCTTCCAACCTCGAAGTGATCATTAGACGTGTGGAAAACATTGATTGTAGTCTACCTGCATTAGAAGTTCTTTGGATTAATCTGCGTAACTAGTCTTGGTATTTCACTAGGTGCATCGCCTCTGAATTGTATGCGTATATACAGAGGCTTTTCGATCACGGTTAGGCATTCTTTATACTCTCTTTCATTGGTTATATGTTTATTTATAAATTCTCCGGATATCCGTTTTCTTTCAGGGTCGTATGCAATGCCCTTGTTCTGTCTTCCGCTGCATCTAGAGAGTATTTAGTCTTGATCCTGTGTTGAAGTGTTTTAATCAGGTTCCTTTAGTATTGTAGAGGAACAAAACTAAAAAAATTGTGTACTGGCCCGTCCTTGAGTTTTCTTGTTTATGTTTCCTCTTAATGACTCGTCTTTTCTCTTTGTAAGTAGGACGTTTAGAAATTCTATTTTACCTCTATTTTCTCATTCACATGTGAATTTAATGGACAGATGAATTTCATTGAATCGCTCGAGTGTTTTTATCAAGCCAGTATGGTCGTTACAAAGGATAAACGTATAGTCCATATATCGACAGTAAAATGAAAACTTATCAATCTGTTGTGTCAGTGGACTGTTTTCTAGTTTAACGAGAAAAAATGTCGGCCAATATGGGACCTAGGTATGAAACCATCGCGACAACATCTATTTGTCGATACATCTGACCACTGAATTTGAAATGTACGTTCATAGTAAATTTTAGTAATAATTCCTTGATGATCTCCATGGGGATTGTAGTATCTACTTCTTGTTTTCCAAATTGTTCACAGATATATTTTTCAGTCTCTCTGAGTAGGACACTTGTGAGCAATTTTGTTACGTCAAAAAACATCATCGTTTGACCTTTAGTACGTATGTTTTTGAACTTGTCAACGGACTGAAATATATCCCTAATACTATGTTTCACTGGGTGTTCGTAGAGTGATTTTAAAATGGTTACTAACCACCTTGCTACAGTATGATAATCAGAATCGTACATGTGTAAAATTATCCTCAATGGGATTGCCGAAAGTACACATACCAGATATCCCATTGAGACCAATTTCGGACATGTGCGAATCCTCCCATCATAGCTTAACAAAGTATTTAGTAACCATTTTAAAACCACTCTACAAACACCAAGTGAAGCATAGTGTTAAGGATGTATTCCAGTCCGTTGACAAGGTCAAAAACATACACACTAAAGGTCAAATGATGATGTCCTTTGATGTAATGTCATTGTTAAATATGGTAAAATTGGACACATAAAGGCAGGGTGTAGTACTACTGTTCATTTCGCCGCAAGTAATGCCAAACATTGTCATTCCGACACTATTAAGTTGAGTGATTTTAATGATCAGTTATCTTTGTCCACGATTTCGAAAAGCAGTATCGAGTCTTGTAGCATTCCAGAATTAAATGACATTTATAATCATTGTGA